AGTTTCTTGCGAGTGGAAAACAACTAGGCTAAATGAACCATCTTTTATGTGATAACTTTTAAAGAGAGGCGTCGTTCCAGCTGAAGGATGGAATGATATATATCTTGCTCATTCTGCAGCTTCACATCCTGCAGATAGCGAACTCACAAGTTCTCTAGCTTGTAGGTTCGCAAGTTGGGTTGCAACACCGTTGGTCGCTGAGCTAGGTCCGATGTATACTTGGATCTCATAAATGGCTCCGTGTGTATGTAAATTCTTGTTCAAAATTTTATGGTACATTTCACAAAATTAGGAGGAGAATTTAACGGCCCACACAAGCACAGTTAGATTTTGGAATGTCAGGATAATATTCTAGGAGTGATATGAAAAGAAAAACGTGTAAAATATGATAAGTAAATTGTCAAAAATAATTAAAAGAAATAATAATATTAATGTTTGAGCTCAACCGGTTTTCTAAAAGGGGCTAGCGCTAGTCGGGTGCCAATTTAGCGCCTAGCGCCTAGGCGTCTAGGCGGGGACTAGTCGGAGACGCATAAATTGTATTTTTATATAAAAAAATGCATAAATATGATAAGTAATACATAGTTAAACAGTAGTATCGTGTTTTAGTGTATGAAAATTACACACACACACATTACACATGCATGAATGATAGAATTTTCACATGCAATCATATATGATAGCTAATCGATTAACTGTATTATGTTATAAATATTAATTAATAATAAATTATCTCTGCTTAAATAATAAAGGCCAATATTGGTTACAATGGTCCTTTTTCAGTCCGATTTAACAGAAATGTAACATTTCAATAGACGAAAAGATTCGAAATACGCATCGCTGTTAACCGGCTCTTTGCACAGGCACAGACACTTCAAAATTATCTTGCGGTTATCAATCTGCCATCAACGGTACGTAGGCGAAGTTTAGAACATCTCCAATGGAGATGTCTATTCTCTAACACACTCTTACACATGGGTCCCATTTTTATCTCACAAATTTTAAGTATACGACCTACATATCTTCATATTCATTTTAATTTTCATTTTTTATATCACTTCTAACTCACTTTTCATCCACTTTTGCTCCTCGATTCTCGTGTAAAGTCTGTTTGTGGACATTGTCATAGACATTGTCTACAATTTACCTCTATCTCTCTCTTCCATTTCATTTTTCATACACACCACTCTCTCTATATTAAATTAAAATAATCATCCTATTTCTATCTCTCTCCTATGCCACGTAGGATAGACTTTACTCCCTTTCTAATTTCATTCCGCTACACTTTCTTCCCCATCTCATCTTAATCTGCGACAACGAAGAAGTTCATAGACCTCCATTTCTAAATCCTTCTATTTCTTCTTCTCTGAAATGGTTAATTCGTATGTTCGTTAATTTGTTTGTTAATTCATTTTTTGTTGGAACTTTCACCATTACATGCTTGCAATGCAAGATACGAGAAGTTGTGGAAGCGGTATACAGGATGTAGGTGAATATTGACTTAGACTTCATTAAGTTTAGCCGAGAGAAATGGTCCCATATAGGACTAAAAATAAAAGCATGTACTCAAATAGGACCTACAAATTTTTCCTAAATAGGAGTATATATTTTCCGTGTTCCAAATTTACCCCTATTTCATATCTTTGCTGCTCGTCTTCATATGGATAAAAATTCTACCAGGCCAGCTACATTCTCTTCTAAATGTAGCAGATGAGCAAGGTGGCGCGAACACGACACGATGGTGACCAATCAGCGAACCGACGTTGAAAGAAACGATGGACGGAGAGGAGGGGAGGTGCAGGGCGGCGCCGGGCGAAGATATCATAGTTAATCTGTCTTTCTTCTTCTTTTCTTCTGGCTCTAGCTCGCTGCTCGTTTTTCTTTCTTTTCTTCCGGCTCTGGCTCGCTGCTCTTTTTTCTTTCTTTCTTTTCTTCCATTAGTTTTCTTCTTGTTGGTTCTTTTCACTCGTGTAATTCCTTCAGTTTTGTATTTGTTTGTTAATGATTCTTGTTTTCTTATTTCCTATTTCAAAAAGCACCTCTAGCAGTGCTTTGGTTTGTTTAATAATTACCCGCACGGGTAGCTGAGTTGGTCGAGTGGTGGGAGATTTGGATCAACGAACCAAGGTTCGAATCCCCGCAGCGATCGGGTGGAGGTCACAGAATCTGAAATAAGGTTGGGCCTCTGGTGCGCACGGGTGTATGGGCCTACTGCCATTCTGCTGACTGAGTCACCGTGACTATCCTCCCCACCATCCTGTCGGGTCGGGGTGGGGGGGCTCCTGGGGTGGGAGATTCCACCTTTTGGATCAATTGGGTTGTTTAATAATTAATACGGAGTAATACTTTACTTTCTAGGTTAATTTACCTTATTATTATTATTATTATTATTACCTTTTTGATTCATAATTTATTTTTATTTTTTAACTTTAAGTTTAGTTTTTCATTCACACAACTGACATTAATTTTCAGAAAACGATCTCATTATATTGTCACATAATGACATTGTATATTACATTGTTATATAGTGACATAATAATCGATTAGCAACAATCTTTTTCTATTAGAGATGTCAATTTTTATATCTTTGACATTGTCACAACATTATCATTGACAACGACGTTGCCAATATATAACGTTGTCATTGTCACAACATTATTTTTATTACAATGTTTTAATCAATGACATCAATCACATTATCAATTTTATACAATGACTTGATAATGTCATCATTTCATAAGATGGTAGTGTCATTGGTTTAGTTATGTCATTGACATTGTAACGTCATTGACATTGTTACGACATTGATAATTTTATGTCATTGACATTGTCACGACATTAATAATGTTATGTTGTTGACATTGTTATGTACATGACACTTGTGATATTGTTATTTTTTCCAATGTTGTATAGAGACTAGCTTCCAAATCTTGCCTATTCATGTTAGGCCCATATGTATATTAATTAATTAGTGGGCTAAGGGCTTCGGATTGTTATATTAACTTAGCCTTGTATGTGTATATATAGGGGAACTCTTGTATAGAATAAACGGATGATTATGTTTACCCAAATAGAATCATATTTCATAGCATCGTATCAGAGCCGCAGAGGGAGGCTATGACGTGCACTTTGTCGTGCTGTGCACTCAAAATAAATATCAATACAACAATTATATGTAGTATAATGAAGTAAGGTTCGTATCCATAGGGAAAGGAATACTTCTTTTTTAATTAAATAGTAACAAGGGGGGTTTTAGATTGTTTTTGGAATTTTAAGAATATTTAAACACTAAGATGAACGACTTATGTGTTTCACTTAATTGAGACGAGGACTTGGTTTTGCTTTTATCCACTTAATGAAATGTTCGTCGATCCCGGTTATATCTTTAACTATCTTCCTCTCGAATACTCAATCGAGGAGTATCTCCATTTCATCGATGGTAGTTATTAATAACGAGACGCGGTCATTAATAAAATTTAATACCGAGTCAATATAGAACACACGCCATATATTAAGCCGATAATAGCAATAAACTTAAGATGAAAACGATTGAGATTGATAACCTCAACACAAGTGGTTTATTGGTTTAATCAATATAATTAATTTCCCTTAGATTACTAATCATGAGACGCATGCATTAATAATCCAAGTTTACTACCGTTGAAAGAACCGAATTAATAACAAGCGCATTAATTGATTGATTCTAGTAATAATTAATATATGAAACAAAACTAGTTGATCCTTTAAGTAATGCTCAGAATATTAATATGACATATGAATAGGAATTAGTTAATATTCAATGAAGAAGATTAACGAAAATAAACTCTACTATAATTAATGTCGAGATGTTAACTAACTGTCATCTTAGCAACACTCCCCAACATTTATATAGAGATAGATTAAGGGAAATATTCAAGGAAGAAGATTAAAGAAAAATAACTCACAACTTACAATCCATTAAGCTTCAAAGTAGCAAAACCAAGGTGGAAGAGTTTAGCTCCTCATTTGGAGACTAAACATGATAAAAATATAAAGAAAGCATTTAGCTAAACTGAGCTTAGAAGTGTATAGCAATTGGTGATCAAATGGGAAGGAAAAGGGGTGTATTTATAGGTGTTTGGAGGTGGTAGGGTCATTTACCCGACCGGATTTTTTAGAAACCCGATCGGGTTTTTTGAGTAAATGCCCAGAATATTCATTAGTCACATCTACCTGATCGGGTTTTTGATTTACCCGATCGGGTAAAAGACAAATATTTACCAAATATTCGTCCTGCACGTTTAATTGCCTCCAAAATCAGATTTGATCTTCGGGTCAAGTCAAACCCGACCGGGTTTTTGCAAAACCCGACCAGGTTTTTGACTATTTCCCTAAGTTTTCACTGTGTCTTGTTCCGTTGCACTTTCCTTGTAACACCATCCCCAATTGTATTTACTTTTATGTAAATCTTGTATTGAATCTTATGAACTGGTTATGAATTTACGAGGTTGTAAATTTTTGTTATTACTTTTGCGTGAATAGTGAATTGCACGTGGGGCCCACATTGGGAGCGAGGACCACCGGATAATCCCGGGACCACAAATTATATTCATCTTAGTCTAGATAATATTTATATGGTGGTGGATATTTTAGTCGGGCCATAGAAAGGGCATGGGGTTGACCGGTCGGTCAAACAAGGTCCAATTACCGGTATTGGTGATTTATCGGATAACTGTCCGAAACGAATTTCGGGGACTTCTAAAATAAAGTTGAGGAACGTACATCCATTCTAAAGGCCTACAATGAGTAGGAACATGTGTTACATTTTATTTGACCCAATAAAATAGAATATATTTAAAACTGTCCGAAAATACAACTTTCGAGATCGATTGTACACTTTTGGACAAAAAGGGTTGACCTCCCACATGAGTGGGGGCCAACACACGAATTTTGTCTTGAAAATGAAGGGGTGGCCGGCTGGTAGGATAGGAGAGCATGGGAGGGGGGCTTTGAGAGCAAATAAATGGCATCAACCATAAATGAGGTGGCCCCATCCACACTCATTGGTTCAATGAGACAAAGAGGTAATCTTCACCTCCCTCTCCCTCATTTTTCGGCCAAGTTACACCCAGAGAGAACAAAAAACTCTGCAAGATCCATTCCTCCATAGCCAAGTGAGCTCATGAAGACAAGGTCCAAGGAGGGAGATTAAAGAAGGAAAAAGTTAGGAAAAAGTGAGAAGAATTAAGGTAATGACCTCATATTAACTTTTCCTTTACTTTTCTTCCATCATATAAGATATATATAATATGAAGAACACTTAGAATCATTCTACACTTTTAGAAATGTAGAATGATGGGTTGAAAGGTGGTTCTAAGTCCAAGAGCGGACTTAGAAGTCAAAACGACCGGTTCGCCGGAAAATAACCTTTTGGAAGTTATTTGTATTGATATGAGTTTTATGATGATAAAACCATGTTAGGAGTTTAACTAAGGTGTTTCTAGAGTTCGCCGGAGTTCGCCAGAGTTTCGCTGGAGTTTCGCCGGAGTTCAACCGAGGAGCGTAGAACAGGCTATACTCCTGCTTTACCTTCTAACTTAGAGCAGGCCCTTCCACTGATTCAGGAGCATGAGACGTTCATACAACACCTCAAAACCAAGGAACTCCCTGCCATCCTTCATCTCTAACAGAAGGTCATCACAAGGCAAGTTGAACATTGAGAAGCAATTGCAAAAACTAGGGAAGATGTTGCTAAGCATCTCACCAGAATGCACAAAGCCACTCAAGAAGCATTCCTAAAGCAAGGAGGTGAACTTCAAAAACATGGCCAACACATACAAGCAACAAACCAGAATCTTCAGAACTTGGACCGAGTAGTCAAAGAAGATGTCCAGGTAGATGTCATGGATCTTCGCAACATTGTCACTGCAGTAGCAATTGAAGTCAATTACCTACATCCAACAAGGAGACGTCATGTGGAAGTTGACTCAGATCCAGAAATTGAGGCTCTATTCCAAGAAAGCCAGACCCCTGCTGATGCCAAAAGGGGGGAAGAATCAACACAAGCAAGCCCCTCCTCCAAGCGATCCCTAGCACCCAAGAAAGCAGCTGAAACCAGAAGAAAGAACAAGTTGTACCAAGAGGAAAGGGAAATAAGGAAAAGAAAAGAAGAGGAAGCTAAGGCAAGAAAAGAAGCAAAGAAGAAATAGGGAGAACAAGAGTAGAATAGATAAAGTCCGAAAGTGACTATAAACTATTGTACTTTCAATCTAGACAATGTACAATAAATAAAAATCAATAAAAATATTTCTTTCTTGTGTTGTATAGTTTTGGCATCATCAAAAGGGGGAAATTGTTAGTACCCAATTTTGATAGATTTTGATGATGCCACTATACTTTGGACATGTACATTGTGTCTCATATAATAGCATTTAAATTTAAGTGACTAAAATAAATGTACAATTTTTGAGACTAAAGAAATATTACTAGAAAAGTAAAAATGCAATAAGGTAATTTTTATTTACCTTAATAGGATATTTAGATCCTTCCTGCAAATATTATTTAGCTCAAATATTAATTAAATGTCGCATTTTAAAGAAAAGAAGCTCGAAAATCATATTCATTCAATGTGTATGATTGGAAGACAATACTTGACCGGTATTTAACACCGAATCAAGTACTAGGGGCCACAACATGGGATGCACACAAGGAACATGCCTCAGCGGGCAAAACCATTGAAGACAAAAGAACAGCCGCATTAAAAGCTCCAGCACAAGAAGACGAATGTACAAGTCGTCCTTGTCAACCTTCAACGAACAAGATTAATTCATCCTAACCAACGGATGAGATTAATCAACTAGAGTAGCCTATATATACAGGCTGAAACGAAAGTTTCTAACCAAGCTTGAGCATTCTAAGTAGAGAAATATTTCATTAAGCATTCATGAGATATCTAGCAAAAGAGAAAGTGTGAATCTATACTTTACTCTCTGCTTAGACTCATGCTTCACTAAACTTCTTAGTTTCAAGTATTCATTGCTAAATCCTAGAAGTTTAGTTCCTAGTTGGAGGTTAGAACTTTCTTGTAATCAAATCATAAATTGTTGTAAACACTTAGGAGAACAGCTGTTCGGATCCTAAAGTGTGGTTAGATAGATAGAGTACCTTTTGATCCCCACTAGATCATTTGAGAAAAGTCTAAGGACTGAGTAACTTTGAGAGGTGTTATACTCATTGTGAAAAACCTTCAATCTAGGCCTAAGTGTTGTAAAGGCTAGATTGGCACTAAGTGTATTGGGTTTAATACTTTAGTGGAAATCCATCTGAAAGAGGGTGGGACTGGACGTAGGAGGATTACACCACCTCTGAACCAGGATATACTGTGTGTTGATTTATTTTCAGTCAACAAAGCACACACCAAACACTTCTCACAAAAGATTGTAGTTTGCCAGCAGCATCCTAAGCAGTAGTCTTAATTGACCCTACTGCTTATCCTACTGCTTAATAACTAACTTTCTTTGAGATACAAGAGACTTGCAATATCACCACAAAAAGGCCTATTCTATCAAAACTCTGGAAATAATCTTAAGACATAGCAGGTGCCTCAGCAGTCCCCTGCTGACTACCCAACTGCTGAGCCCACTGCTCATATAAACCTATTTCTCTTGAACATCTAAACTTCACCAGACCTTCACAACAATCTCACCAAGGAGTCTGTTTAAACTAATCTCTGAATCTTAAGCTGAAACCCAACAGGTGTCTCAGCAGTTCCCTCACTATCACCCAACTGCCGAGACCACTGCTCCAGTAAAACTCCCACTTACTTGTACTGAAGCACATCTTCGGAAAGCCCTTATCACCCTGAGCAACACTACATAATCAGTCTTCCCATAGCTTCATTCTCACTTAAACAGGTACCTCAGCAGTTCCCTGGTTACTACCCTACTGGTGAGTCCACTGTTGTCATTAAGGTTGATTATCAATCCACCTCGATACATCATCAGAAAGCTCTTTTCATTCTAAGAAAGATTTTGATCACACTTTCATCATACAATCAATATTTTCTCAGCAGTTGCCTCAGCAGTTCACTACCATCCAGTCCTCTGCCAAGCCAACTGCTCACTACATAAAGTCCAAACTTCATCCATCATAGAAAGTTGTTATACACCATTTGTATAAGAGGTTAAAGACTTTCGCTGTGCATCTCTAAATCTCCCAAAAGATTATAGATCAACTCATCTAGAAGGGAAAAGTTTTTAAAGTTGAAAAAGCTTTAAAAGTCTATTCACCCTCCCCCCTCTAGACTTTTACCTCTATTCGGGACCCTCAGCATGTGCAACTTTTAAAGTTTGCATAACTATGAGATTTTAAAAATGAGCATAATATTAGTGAAAATTGAACAAATCTAAGTTACAAAATGAGTATGATATGAAAATCATAATTTTTTAAGTTTGACTTCTAAGACATTTCTATTGAGCATCAAACCTTCTCTATTGAGTATTGAAAATATGCAATTGAGTATTATGGTCTGTGCTCCTATATCTATAACCAACTCCTACATGAATCTAAAAAATAAACTGAAACATTTAATAGTATTTTATTTTATGCATTAATTGAATATAATATTAAAGTAGAAGGTTTCTAAAAAACAAAAAAGAAAGAAAGAAAGGATAACATAAAAAAAAGAATAAACAAATGAACAGAAAAAAAAGGAACGTACAAAGTGGAAGTGAAGTAAGGAACTAAAGATGCGCAGGAGTGGCCGAGTGGAGCCGTGACTGAAATTAAAAAGGAGTAAAGGGAGTAGCTCCAGTGCCTGAGTCTATCAAACTTGCTACTAATTGCAAAAATACTGGGTGTACACGTACACCCGGGTGTATGATATATGCGCTGTTAATTTTAGGCTCCCAATAACTTATCCCAAAAATCTTGGAGTTACAAAAAAATACTGCCCAAATAAATCAGAGTTAGCAGAATCGCCACCTCAAGTGGAGGCTTAAGGAAACAGAAAACACTTAATGCGCAATGTCAAAGGCAAAAATATAAGGTAATGGGGATTTTGCTCCTCTCCAATAGGAGAGAGATAGAGAGAAGCGGGGAAATGGTGGGGTAGGGAAAAAGAAAAGATTATGTTTAATTATTACGGAGTATTTTTAAGGAGAGAGATAAAGTGAAAAAGAAATTGAGAGAGTAAATGGAGAGAAGGAAATGAAGATGAGTATGACCGAGATAATGAATCTCATCCAAAATAAATATCCTATTTTCTTTAAAGTGGCATAACTTTTTTATTTGTACTCCGATTGTTACAAAAAATATATCAAAATTCATCTTTGATTACCTTTCATATGACACCAATAATGAATATATAAAATTCAAAAACAAATATTTTTTATAGCTTTTTGTTTTACTCCAGGGGGCGTCTGGGGAGGGGGGGCTGGGGGTAGGGAAGAGCACGGGTCGGGTTCGGGCGGGTCGGGTTCAAAAATGATAAACCCGTTCGGGTATCGGATTGATAATTTCAAACCCTACCCTATCAAAAAAATTATCGGTTTTTTTTAGGTTGAAGAAATTTGGGTTGCGGTCGGGTTGATTCGGGTTTCGGGTCCATTCGGATTTTAATTTATTATTGTTGAAATTGTGATAAATAAAATGGTAATTGGTAAAAATATCATTCAAAGTTATACTAGTATATCATTCAAAGTAATAGTTGTATAAATACGGTAATCGACATATTTGAACATGTAAAATAATAATATACGGTGATTGACATAATTGATATTGTAATAAATAAAATGATAGTTGGTCAAAATATCATTCAAAGTCATAACAATACAACATTCAAAGTTATAGTTGTACTAATACGGTAATTGGAATATTTGAACATGCATAATATGATAAGTGACATATAATAATTGAGATATTTGAACATGCATAATAATTTAAAGTAGTATATATACTATGCTAGTTCGTTTTTTCGGGCGGGTCGGGAAGCATAATTGATAACCCTACCCACTACCCGCTTAAGTCTCGGGTTGCAAAAATCGGACCGGGTTTGGGTATTTCGGGTCGGGTTTTCCGACCTCAACAAAAAAAATCGGATATATCCAATCGGGTCAATCGGGTAGGGTCGGGTTTGCTCTCCCCTAGCTGGGGGGGCCTGGAGTAATCATGGCTGAAACTAATTTTATTGAGTTTCAAACCCTTATGTGCCTAGCGGGTTTCGAACTCGAGACCTCTTACTAGGCACGGTAACCTCATAATCAGTTGGGCTGGAATGCTTGGTTAATTCAAAAAATAATATAACACTTTAAATATTATCTATTTTTAAAGCGCTATATCTTTTTTACTTGTATTCCGATTATTACAAAAAATATATCGAAATTCATAATTTTTTATTACCATTAATATGACACCAATAATGAATATATAAAAAACAAAAATAATTTAACACTTCAAAATTATGTGCTTTAAAATGCTATATCTTTTTTAGTTGTATTCCGATTATTACAAAAAATATATCAAAATTCATAATTTTTTATTATCTTTCATATGAAAGCAATGTTTTATATATGAAAATAAAAAATAATTTAACACTTCAAAAACATACTCTGTATGTTTTTTCAAAATGCTATAACATTTTTATTTGTACTTCAATTGGTACAAAAAATATATCAATGTTGCATAATTTTATATAAAAATAAAAAATAAAATATCATAATTTTATTACGTTTTATATGACACCAATGTTGCATATAAAAAATAAAAAAGTTCTATTAACTTGTGCCCTGGCATTGCGCGTTTATTAGATTTTATGTTTATTTTTATATATTCCCTCCGCCCCTTATAACTTTATCAAATTTCCTTTTTTGGTTGTCCCCAAAACTTTGCCACTTTCCCTTTTAATCAATCAATTTATGGTTTCTATTATTTCTCTCTTCTCTGCACAAATCTCTATCACACAGTTTTTACTTTATTATTCTATGTGCCGGTCAAACTTGACAATCCTTTTAGGGACGGAGGGAGTATGAAACATTGCTTTCACATGAAAGATAATAAAAAAATATGAATTTTGATAATTTTTAAAGTGTTAAATTATTTTTTGATTTTTATATAGTCATTATTGGTGTAATATGAAAGATAATAAAAAGTTATGAATTTTGAAATATTTTTGTAACAATTGGAGTACAAATAAAAAAGTTATGACACTTTAAAGAAAACATGAGATTTTATTTTGGGTGGGACCCATTACCTTATACGGAGTATTTTTTGCTTTAGCATTGCGCGTTACGTGATTTCTCTCTCCTTAAGCTGCCACTTCAAGTGGCGGTTCTTCTAATTCAGGTTTATTTGACATTATTTTGGGAAATACTTTTAACTAACATTAATGATAAATATTTTTTTGTTTGACATTGTTTTGGAAAAAAACTCAAAATCTTGAGAAAAGTGAACTTGCTCCAATTCATTAGATTTCCCATATGATGTACTCCCATACGTATGACTTAGATTACTAACTTTTGCTTGAAGCTAGACGGAACCCTATACCAATGTAATACTACTACGGAGTATGTGATAAGTGATATATCTAATCATTTTCAGTTATCAAAACTCAAAAGTAAATTTAATTGTAACAAAGTAAATTTTCAGTTATCATTTTCAGTACTCAATAATCAAAAGCCTTCGCTGGATAGGTCCCCTCATTCCATTGAATTTATGGTGTTGGGTGTTAATAAGTGGTACGAACTCTTTTCTGTTCTCTTTCAATCTTTTATTTACTTTTGCTGGTTTTTCAGAGAATGGTGTTTTGTAACATTCTTGTTCTGATAAACAGTTGCTTCGGATGTGGGCCATGTGGTGATAAACTGCCGCCTTCTCCTCCGGAGGAAATAACACCGGTGGCGGCGGATGACATATCTCCTGCCACCTCTCCCAGGGTTTGCCTCAGTGATGGGAGGTGCCTGGTTTACAGAGAAAGAGGAGTGCCCAAAAACAAATCCAATTACAGAGTCATTATTGCCCATGGCTTTGGCAGCAACAAACACATGAACTTCTTTGCTTCTGATGTGAGTGCTATTTTAATTATACTTTCATTCTAAAAGTTTGTTGCATTGGTAGTTTAAAAAAGATTTGTTGGATCCAACAAATTAGGACTAAATTTGTTTGTTTGAACAAATTGTTCCTCAAATATTCGAATCCATTGCTCATTCCAGCTAAGTTTATATATTTACATTGAAAAAAGAGATGTAGTTGGACAGCTAGGTCACTTAAGGACCTTAAATTTCCTATTGAATTGCATTCAGACACTCTGAAAATGGAATGCACTAATATTGATGTAGTTAAACAGGAATTACTTGAGGAATTGGGCGTATACCTCTTGATATATGATCGAGCTGGATATGGAGAGAGCGATCCAAACCCAAAGCGCTCTTTAATCAGTGAAGCTTCTGATATTAAAGAGCTAGCTGATCTGATCCAGTTAGGATCCAAATTCTATTTAATAGGTGTCTCCCTTGGATGTTACCCTGCCTGGAGTTTCCTTAAACACATGCCTCATAGGTATTACCAAGGGAGTGTTTCTGATTGCTGCTGTTCACGAAAAGTGACTTGTTTTAGGAGATTACACATGATGTTTTGTAAAAGTAGTTACTATTTGAAAATAGAAGTGATTTCCAACTAGTAGAAGTTTGTTTGGTTGGTGAAAATTACTTTTTAGTGTATTACCAAGATAAAAGGTATCAAAAATAGAATAGCAGTTTTAATAGTTATAAAGTTCTTAAAGTTAAATCGAAACACTTGTTTAGAAACACTACTTTTATTTTTTATGGCAAAAAGCTGAAAAAGGTTTTTAAGCTTAACTGTTTAGATTTAGATCAAAGCCAAGTCTATTCTAGCATGTTCTGGTCTTGACCAATGTGTTCGGGTTTCATACTATTTGCATTTTATTACGGAGAACTATTTAATAAACTGCTCCGATTTAGTGTGATTTGTTTAAGTCTGAGAGTTTCACTGAACAAGTCCTCAAGTGTGTTAAAAAACTCTTTCAACTTCTGTAATATGCACCTGCAGGCTTGCTGGCGTAGCTCTAGTTGTGCCTTTCATCAACTACAATTGGAAATCACTTCCGGATTATATGACAAAGGATGATAATAGAAAACCACTAAGCCGGTTGGTTATTTTACTAATTCGTTATGCCCCGGCCTTGTTACACTGGTGGTTCACACAGAAATTGTTCCCTTCAGCTACTGTTCTTGATAAAAACCCTGCATTCTTTTGTGACAAAGACATGGAGGTGTTGAAAAGTGCACAAGGATATAAGCTTTTCACTCAGGTTATTTCACTCTTTGTATTTGTGTTCTAATTAAGCATTTAAAGGCATACATACTACATCCACTCAAATAATAAAATGAATAAAAACTAGACTTAGTTTTAGGATGGAATCTCATATCTTGATAAAACAAACCCGTAAAATCACTAGGAGCTAACAAGCAAAATGTTTTGACAAAACCTTTTTTTCCTTTCCTTTGGTAGGATGGATTGAGGAGTCGAATTATGTTTGACTCCCTTACACGGGATATTAATGTGGCGTTTGGGAAGTGGGATTTCGACCCATTGGAGCTGAGTAATCCATACCCAAAAGGCGAGAGTAATGTTCATATCTGGCAAGGTTGCATGGACAAGGTTGTTCCAGTTGAATTACAAAGATATGTGTGGAAAAGGCTCCCATGGATCCGGTATCATGAAGTTCCAGACGGAGGGCATTTGCTGGTATATGATAGTGCAGTTTGTGAGGCGATGCTGAGATCTCTTTTGCTTGGTGAAGATCTTCCATTGTATATGCCTAACTTTGGCAATTAACTACTCATATTTCATTCATTCTTCTCCATTATTGATCAAAATGTATTCCTTGCAAGGCTACAAGTAATATAATTGATTTCTCCAAAGGTTATTGCTGTGAACTTGATCCATTAGGACCTCTAATTGAACTATTTTTACAAATGATACTTTCACGGTTTCACCCAAACAAAGTACACAACCTACACAGTATTAAATAGCCATGGATCCGGTCCGCTCCGACCGGCCCGGGAACCGGTCCGGCCCACTACTGTGCGGGACCGGCCCGACCCGGGTGACCGGTACCGGGCTTAGGTCCGGCCCGAGGGGATAACTGGGGGCGGTTTCGGGACTCCAAAAGGGTGAACCGGCCGGTCTGGGCCCGGTTCGGACTTTTGGGGGGGGGGGGGGGGGTGTTTGGGCTAGGTTTAGGTGGGCTGGGCTGGGTGTTTCCGAGGGGTTTGAGGGGTGGGGGGATGGGGGTGGGGGTTGAAATAAATAAGAAAACACAAAAAAAATCGGAACCGGCCCGGCCCGGAATCGACCCGGCCTGGAACTGGCAGACTCCCGGGCCGGTCTCGGTCCTTACCCAAAACATCCAAGCCCAGCCGGGCCCAGGCCCGAACCGGAACCGGACCGGGCCCAGTCCACCCCTAGTATTAGATAAAAAATCTTTAATTTACAAATGATAGTCACAAAGAAAAAACATAAAAACGAAATTGATAGAAGTTTATGACACTCTTGGGATCAAAAGTGGAATTTTTTCATTTGATAAAGAGCGATCTTCAGTTCATGCACAAACACTACGAAATTAGCAAAACAAAACCGGGATATGATGTTATAGAGTCAGGAAATGATGAAAGTAAAGTTGTAAACTTGCTTTCCAAAGAATAGGAGTTTTATGCAGTGGGATGTCGAAACCTAGACATACCACTTATCACTTTAAAGATTTGGCATATTAAGTGTTTGTATGGTATGTTATGTCTGATTGTTGCTGGAGAAGATCTATTTTACCTTCAATTAGGGAAGGAGATTACTTATGACATTATGATATGGAACCCATCCACCAAGGAAATCAAATCCTTACCCGCACTTAAGGTTTCCTTCCAACATCCCCACAATCCACCAAACGAACCACCCGTTAGGATTGTTGTGAATGATGGATTCGATTTTCGACTTTGTAAGAACATGATCTGGAAAATTGTTGGTCTATGGAACTTTCATGTTATGAATGCCTACCACACAATCGTGATGGTTGGTAGTCAAGTTGGTGATTCATGGTGTTGGAGGCAAATTGATGCAACAAATATTACATGTGGTTATTTGTTTATCATTGAAGATTTTCAGTTAAAGGGAAGATACTATTGGCGGGTTGTAGCACTCTCCCCAATTCCATCAACTTACGGTCGTGAGAAGCTTCTTTGGTTTGACATGGATGATGAGGTATTTGGGATCAGCTTCTTTACAACTATGGATGATACTATTGTTTTTCTTGTTTATCCGATAATGGAGAATAATTATAAGGTCGAGATTTGGTTGATCAATGAAGATGACAACCACCACTTTAATTGGCATAAAAGTACAACCTTAGGCTGTCATCGTTATCCAGATGAAAGGCTGATCGGAATTTGGAATCACCGTTTGATTCTGTTACCCCCAATTTCAAAAACTGAGGAGTGGATGTTCGATACAAATTTTGTACCATCTTTGATTTCCATCGATTTGGAAACTGAGGAAAGGAAGATTATGTATGTCACAGAAGAAAGAAAAAACATTGACATTGCTTATAACTCAAGTGGGTGTGTTCATGTATACTTTGAGGGGAACGTTCAGATTCGTCGAGAGTTCAGAACGGTTCATCTAGTGGGGGCGTTTTTTCGAGTTTATCATGAGAGTCTATATTTACTGTGAAAAAGAAACCCCGGTGAGAATTATCATTATAATAAAAAACCTCCTTTTTTATTGTTGTTTTTATTTTTATACTTTTACTACTAAAAAGTCTTATTAGTATTATTTCCATTGGAGGATATGAACGCTTGCATCCGAAAGAGAATACATTTTTAGTATTATTTCCGAAATAATAGAAAATCTAGTTTGTTCAATCATCAGAAAGAAATAGCTATAGTATTCAGTTTGATCAATTGCTGGTAAGAAATTACCAATATCATCGGTTGGACCAGCCACCGAAAGGAGAATCCAATCGAGCGCTATCTTTCTCTCATAGCATGACAGTGGTTTAGGAGGAGGACGCATTATTTTCCCGCAATTACCGACTTCTAAAGTTAATATTCCAAAAATATCAAGCAAGACTAATATTGGCAACCAACAACAATAAAATTTCAACAAACGATCAGTCTACCGACGAGGAATACTAAAACCCTAGACATCGTTAAGAAAAACCCACATAAAATAACTGGAAAATACAAAAGAAAGAGATCTTTTTTCGATATTTATGAGGAGAAAGAAACTTGATGAGAAGAAAGAAACAGAGAGACTGCCGGGTATTTACCCTTCGCCACTCCCCATGTCTACACATCTTACGTGATGGGAGTGTATAGAAGTTACTTAAATAAGTTAAATACTACTATTACAAACTATGATTATATTTTTAAATTAATTTTGTTTATGAGCTTATCAATTCAAACTATGATTTTATTTATTTGAGATGAGATTGGGATTGGCAATGGACATAAAAGCACGTCTCTTTATTAAAAATTAAAAATAATAATCTGTTGATTTCATCATAGTTTGTGACATATTTGAGCTTGGGGAGAGGCTTGGCCATGAAGCAATGGCCTCTATGTCATTATTATGATAGGTCCGATAATTGGACGTCTAGTTTGGTGGTACTGAGTATGATACGTTGTATACGTGTAGGAAACAAATGATATACAATTTTTCTTCAAATCATGCATATTATATTTACGATATAAAATTGAAATTAAATCAATTCAACCATAAAATTGGAATTTTATCGAATCAGGCTCTACAAGATAAGTTGAAAGATAAAATTTCTATAAAATTAGATGGAGGTAGTGTTAATAAATAGTTACAACAATGAAGACAAGGTGATCACATTGGTAATAGCTATATAACACGAATACTTCATTGGGGTATCGTATTGAACATCGAAAACATCCTCGTATCATATACTCTAGGATACACGATTGTACGTTCTCAGATCATATTTACAATTTTTAAAAGTTTCAATGTTTTTGGTAATTATTTTAAAATTTTGGATACACGTAACAATTTTTTATAAAGAAAACAGCCAAAAGTTAAATATTCCGTAAAAGTCTTAAAATATAAGGAGTATATTTTATTAGAGTATTTGTTTATTAGAGTATTGTTTTCTATCTTCATAGAATTTTTAAAAATGCAAGAACTTTCAAAGGCGTGGTTGTCAGTTTAAATATTAAGATTTTGGGTGCATTTTAAAGATATTCGTTTTTTAAAAATAAAACAAAACATAATCATAGAAAAAAAAAGAAACAAAATTTAAGGAAATATAAAAATCTATTTTAATTTAAAAAGCAATACAAGGAGTGAGGTTAAATTTGAAAGAGGAGGTGAGTTTGGCGAGCTAATTGAAAAGTTGGTACGGTCTCAGTTTTCTTATAATTAGAATATTAGAATGATATTTGAATTGAAAATACTCGTATTCGAATTCATATTCACAAATAATTCAAATAAAAATGTTTAGACGCACTCCGATCAAATCAATCGAAATCTAATACGACTTGTGAACCATATTTAAATTATTCATTTACAACCTATCAGGAGGGAACCGTGTATAGTTGTATGCATAAAACTAAATAAATCATAATTAGTTGATGATATACAACACGCAAATATATCAAGAACAGGAACAGGAATTACGGAAAATATAAAAAAATGAGAAAAATATGGAATACAATGGCATATATATTCACACATCTAAAGAACAAGAACAAAAAGCCTGTATTCTTTAACGCCTATCTAAAAGAATAATGCTGAATCGTATGTGTATAGTATGCTAAATTGCCATTTAGTAATCGCCGAACCAAAGCTGCCTGTCAAAAAAGGGGGCAAAATGTTAACATACACTTCAAACTTCAACAACGTATCTCATAAATTAAAACAGCAAATGATCGAAATTTTTCAAAACAAGGTAAAAATATCGTGAAATTCCAAAATAATAGTACTATATTTCCATCCAAAATAGTAGTACGATATAATCATATTTTGGCATTAGCAAATATGGCAATATTTGTGTGGTAATTCCGTATATTTTAAATATAGCGACAATTACTCATATTTAGAGAAAAGTACATCACTTCTTACTTTTGAATTTAGATTATTTTTACTCCTAGTTGGGACAACTTTTAACAAACATACCGTGTTTCTTTAAAATGAATATGACTTTTTTGAGCCCATTTGGTAACACTAAAATTAGCTGAATTGGCTGATTCTGCTGAAATTTTTGAAGTTCTGACTGAAGTTACTGTATTGGCTGATTCATAATAAAATTATATATAAAATATTTGTTATTAATAAATAAAATAAAAATTATATGAAAAACAAGCTAAAATGATCCTCTACGGTAACTTCAGCAAACACAACCAGAAAAGTAACTTCAACCTTACTTTTTTTGCTTATTACATAATTCAGCGCGTGTAACCAAAAGTTATGTGTTTGATGAAAAAGGTGAAAAACAGGACATAATACGGACTCTTAGTCATAACATATTTACCTTATTATAAAATAAATATTACCTGAAATAGGACTAAAACAATGTGAAAATTCCAAAATAGGACTGCCATATTTTTATTCCCAAAATAAGACTAATTACTGCCATGTTTTAGCAGACTTCAAACATGGTAGTATTTCAAACACATGACAGTAATTAATCTTATTTTGGGAATAAAAAACATGACAGTTCTATTTTGAAATTTTTAAAATGTTTTAGTCCTATTTCAGGAACTAATGTCTTAGTCAAGAGATATTTTCTACAAACGGACGCAACACCATTTTCAATACGAGAAGCATGAATTATTTTATATGCGAATGTTATAAACGGAGTAAAAAAGAAAGAAAAATCAACAGCAATGTGAAAATTGTTTTAATAATACACATGTGGGGTGGCCGCCAATCTTATCCTCTGAAACAAGCATTACACACAGCCCGATGATGTAAAAGATAGCAACAGGCAGCCACAAGAAATTTATGCAACTAAATGAGGCGGCTTAAGCAAGATTTGATGATAATATAAACTGTAATGGTCAAACTTTACATTGAATCTTCCCATTCAATATAATCAGCCTATGTCAGCAGGTTCTTCATTTTCAACACGTAGGAAATGATGGCAAAAGAAAAACATAGTGGATTTGTTTCTCTAAAGTCATCAAGTGTGAGCTAGGCAGGTGTTTTAAGGTTTGGTAAAATGATAAAAGGTTGCTTGGTGAAGAAATATGAGGCTTCATAATTAAAACCTAAATGACTCATTGGGCTGAGCAAGCTTTGATTCGACTTGAAGATGACAGCAGGGGTTGATAATGACCTCCACCCTCATTATGTTCTAAAAAACTTTATAAGGGATTGTATTCCCTCCGTCCATATTTAAGGTCCATATATTCTCTGTTGGGACATTCTTAATAGACCTCTTTGATGGACATTTTTGGATGTACATTTTCAATTATATTAAGAAATCAAAAAAATAAAAATTGTGTGATTGAAATTTGTGCAGAGGAGAGAAAAATAAATAAAACCATAACATAAGTACTTTAGTGGTAAGATTTGTGTAACAACCAAAAAGGAAAAGCTGACTAAGTCCAATAGCACAAAGAGAGCATCAATTTACTCTCCTACACCACCAATAACAGTAATTGTATAAAGTGAAACAATGTCAAAACAGTAATTTGGGAAGGTCAAATTCGGAACTTGAAAGACATAGGTATGGAGATCAAGCACCCTGGTTGGGTCAGGGAGGGTTATTGTGCTCTTGGAACAAAGCTTTAGCAAAACAAAATACAGAAAATACTTTACTTTGGGTCACATATTCTTGCCCTTTTGGTTCTTCGCATAACTCACTGGACCAATTTATGTAGGGGATTAAAACTGAAAATGAATCAATAGTCGACCAAGATAAAAAAAAAACTGAATCAAAACAACAATAGTATACCCCGTGACTCATCAGGTGGTTACCCATCCCTTTCCTCAAGTTGTGTATGATTCACAGCTATAAATAGTAATTTACTCCGTAGTAATTAATGAGTGTTGAAAAAGGGACAAAAGATGCGGTCATGTGAAAGATTATGACATGCAAAATGAGTATGAAATGAAAATCCTTTCATATCTGGCACAACTAATTAATGGAAAAGAGAGAAAAGTAACCGAAAATGGAATCTGATTGCGGCATCTTCCAGACAGAAGCCACTATGGACTTTTGTCTTCTTAAAGATGATGCAAAGTTCAACACAAATTGAGTTTCACATTCATGATCATTTCTGAAGATAAGCACCAATGAATCAAAATAATTGTTTAATGTTTTGGGCAGAAATAGCTAAAATGAGTGAATTCAAAACCACCCTTAAAATAGGATCAAATTGATTAATATTCAATTCAAGATTTTGTAAGATCAGAACTCCTCACATAAAATATGTACACCACTCCAAGAAATTACTAAGAATGAATCACTAAATTAAACTAGCTAGCTTTATCCTGAGTCCTGAATGAATCACATAAAAATATACAAACTTTAATTCATCTACTCACCTTTAATCAATTTGTAGCAATAAATCAATCAAGGACAGCCAATTCAGTTATCAATGGGGCTCTGCTCTACCTACAATTTGTTCTGTTCCTGAAGCTACCAGACTTGTATGAAGCATAGTATAAAAATCAGAAGAAAAGCTGGAATACATAATACCTGCAAAACAAAGTACACAAAAATGGCAATTAATTAATTAATTATACATAAATGAAGAATTTGGAGATATAATCAAGTTGAGTAGCAAGAACTTACTCTACCACCAGCAGCAGAATACTCCATTTGGGGAAAGGAACCAGTAGAACCAGTACCATCTTGCTGTTGTAGTTTAATGTCATAAACCGGGTTGAGATTCGGGTAATAGAGCCCGTAATTCCTCTCCGAAGTCGGGCCCGGCTTTAGATTCTCATTGAACAGAGCGAAAACATACACATCAACCGGCACCGACGGCTTCGCCGGTGTACCTTCGCCCTTGCTTAAGCGCCCCAACAGATTACTATTGTACCGTGCGGCATTCTCCTGTGTCGCCCCCGCCTCATTCTCGTCCCCCTTCGAAGGCCAACCCGTTTCCGAAACCTTCACTTCTATATCCTCGTGACCCATCGCTTTCATCGCCGAATAAACCGCATCGATCTGGGCGTAGAACATGTTGTCGTATTTCAATTTCGTCACCGGATCCGTATTCCCCGGATTAGGGTTGAAAAGCACATAGTCCAGTGAAACGTCGCCGGGATCTCCTTTGTATGCGAAGTAGGGATAAGCATTTATGAGAAACGCCGAGTTTGTTTGAGCATGGAAATCGAGAATGTCGTGGATGTATTCCGCGAGATCCGGTTTAAACGCGCCGGAAGAAGGTGGGAAGGAGACCGCCATTGCCGAGTACGCATGAGCCGTCGTTACACTGATCTTGTCGCTTAACCCTAAATTAACCAGCGCCGAGTGAACTGATTTCATCGCCGGGAGAAGATACGACATGGCATGAGAGTCACCGCCAGTTAAGACCTCGTTCCCGACCGTGATACAGGTGATCTTGGTTGACCCGTAATAGGGCTGAACATTTTGTTGGATCCAGGTCTGGGCTTGGGTCGGGTCAGTCATCTTCTGAAGATCGCCATTTCCAAGGCCAATAACGAACTCAAAGTCTGACCCGGCAAATGCGGTCAGGACGTTCGGGTCGGCGTCGTAAAGTTTAACTCGTTTGACGTTAAGTGATTTGAGGAGGGTGACAACCCTTGAATGGGATGGCAGATTGTCGGCAATTTGGCCATAGTTAATTCCAAATCCAGTGCTTTGGATACCCGGAAAAAGATCTGAGTTCACAACGTTCATGAATTAGATTCAAAAATTTGTATCCAAATTTGTACACATTTCACCCATATTTGTAAGTAATTTCACAATGTCTACGTAAATTAATTTTACACTTTTCTTTTTGGGTCTTCTCATATTAAACTTTACATTTCCTTATTTGTCTTATTTGACAAACAAATCTACACCAAACATTGCCAAACGGTGTCAAACAGTATCAAACAGTGCCAAACAGTGTACTCTACAGTAAAGTCAAATTTATTTCCTTAATACATGTGAAGTCAAAGTGTAAAGTTTAATAAAGACTGAAAGGAGTAGTTAGAAATACCTAATATTTTCTTAAGCAGATGTAATATTTCTAACAATTTACATATATAAAACTCTCCTAAAGCGTAAAATTTATTTCCAAAGCTCATTCCCGTAACAAGACTTTTTTACATACTCTCTTCTTTAAACTATTCCGCCTCCTTTTTCCTGTTTGGTTGTTTAACTAATTTTAGATCCTACCATATTTGCCATTATTCGTATAATTGTATTCATTCTTTCTATATTAGCATTTGATCAATTAAATAACAACCTTTTAATAATATTCTTTTAATAACTACACCACCCTACACAAACAAAGGATGACACCCCATCTCTGAGGACTCCAACACCGACCGTACAGTTAAATGGTAGGATATAAATTGGTCCTAACCTTACTTGCAGAGACCCTATGCTTTTTTAGTATTCTAACTTCTATGTAGTAAAAGTGAGGGAAATCTGACCATCTAGACGAAAAGGTCTCCAAATGTATTTTTTTCGAATAGACATTTCTAGGCGTGCAAAAGTCAAGTTTAGTAGTAGTACATTTTAGATGATCAAAAATGATGTTTGTACACACTTATACACACTTTTGTACACACCTATGTCTGTGAAAGCTTTTTTTAACTGTGAACATCGATTCACAGACAATGTTTTGCACAAACAAAATATTGTCTGTGAACCGGATTCACAGACAAAAAAAAAAGCTTCACAAACATGGTGTGTATAAGGTGTGTATAAAGGTGTGTACATCAAGAATGGTTGTTAGATGATTGTCATAAAACTATTGCAGTCTCGAAGCAAACTAGTTCATAAACAGAATTGAAAATTGGTATCTTTTCCTCCCGCAGAAATGTACACTCTATTTCCAATATGAAAAATTATGTGCAGTTTTGACTTTTGACCATGGAAAAAACTACCAGGGAAAATAATAGGAAAATAATAACTAAAGAAAAACAGTAGTAGGAAGTAGAGCTGATCGGAAAATAACGCATACATTCAAAGTATCAAACTTCAGAATTTTATTTTATATACCATGGTTAAGTTAATTTCTTTTTATTCATACTTATTCAAATATATAACTTTTTTTGAGAAGAGACATATAACTTTCTAAATAAATTAATCATTCTTGATTCTTGTTTAGATTTTACGGTCAAACATAAAAATAAAATTCCTTAGATTCATCTTAATTTACCGTGGCACTATCCATAATACAAAATTTGTTAAAGTATTTGTCCCATACCAGAAAACTAAGACTTTTTCTATTAACTCCTATGACTTTTTGGGATGAACTATTTTTATACATGACTACATCCCAAATTTAGATAGAATTTGCACAATCAACATTAGGAAATACAGACTAATAATAATTTGACAGCTAAAGAGAAGCATAAACAGTTTCAGAGTCATACATAGTATGCATACAGCATACCCAAAGTCCCAAACCCAGATTTCTATTCACCCAAGAATCAAGATTCATCAATCACCCCATCTGGAAATTATTTAAAGAAAAACACTTGCAGTGATATATTAGAGATTACAGAATTGTAAAAACTGAATCTTCCAAATCCCATCTTCCTTATTTAGAAGAAATACTTCCAGTGAGAAAATTAGAGATGAAAATTGGTAAAAATTGAATCTTTCAGTCATTGATGACCAAAAAGGGTGTCTTTATGTCCATTTGCAGAAACCCAAACCAAGAAAAGATGAAAAACAGATGAAAATATGCATAATTGGATGCATTTAACTGTTGGAATTCCTAATCTATGGAAGGGTAGGTGGGGGTGGGGTGGGGGGAATTTTAGGGAAAGGGGCAGTTTACCTGTAAGAAAGGAGAAGAGGAGCAGAGCTGGGATGATTTTGGCCATTGCCATTGACAACTTTGAGGGAACTCTAACAGCCAGGATTCTTAAAATTATGCGCATATTTATACTTATATATGCCATCCATCCAAATGTTATTTTATTTTTATTAATGTCCCATTCATAGTTGTGTATTTTGTTTTGTTTTGTTTTCAGAGTGGCTGTATCTTTAATTCTTTATTGTTATTTTCCTGCGCAGTCACGATTATTTTTATTTTATTATTGCTCCGCAGATTTTTAAGGTCACGCGTGATATAATTGGACCTTAAATTGACATGCTTTCTCATTTAACCGACATAGAAGTACACGGTTTCTAAAAAAAATACTGCATGTTAAGTAAACTTGTAACATCAATTTTTAATTAAAGAAATTGCTAAAAATAAGACGAAGTGTTAAAGAGTTTAATGTACCAAATCTCCCTGTAATATAGAAATTCAACACATTAGTCTCATGTGATTTAAAAAATGCGTCAAACTCCCTTGTGTTTTAATTAATTATGCGCAAAATGTCTTCTATGAACAGATTCAATTGTCAAATATAAAAAAAATGATTAACATTTTTGTATGATTTAGAAATTTTGACATATTTACTTGCATATTCAATCAGAATAGTAGGTAAAGTGATCTCAAAATCATTAAATTTAGTCATAAAAGAAGTTCTGTACATGATTAATTAAAACACAGGTGGGTTTGATGCATTTTTCAAATCACAGAGGGCTAATGCGCTGAATTTCTATATCACGAGGGGTTTGGTGCATTAAACCCAAGTATTAAATAAAGAAATAGTTCTAGTTATGTTATATTTCTAAAATATGGTATATTTAACTTACATAGAGATGCGAATTATTATAGTGCTGTTTTCACGAGTAAATGACTTCTATTCAAGAATCGGAAAGAAGATCACTAAAGTATGTAAAAATAATACAAAATTTGAAAATGAGAGTATTATTTTATTTCCTGGAATAGGAGTTGTTATTATCATTTGAAAATTACTAGCATTTAAATATGATACTCCCTCCGTTCCTATTTTATCTTCCAAATAGATTTGGCACACAATTTAAGATAGTGGGTACTGTGTGGTGGAGAGTTGTGCAGAGGAGAGAGAAATGTGTAAGAAATGTTATGAACCATAAATTATTTACTAAAAAGGGAAAGTGGAAGTTTTAATTGGAACGGACGAAAAAAGAAAATTGGAAGTTTTAATAGGAACGGAGGGAGTAGTATACTACTTCCTCAGTCGTTCTTTATTATCTGTCTCACATTCCTTTTTGGAACGTTTTTAATTATTTGTCTCTCTTTATATTTTAGAAAAGTTTTTAATAAAATACTCGCACTTTTATTACCTTTACCCCTCTTACTTTTCACAAACTACTTTCTTTTTCCTACTTTATCATAAATTTACTCTACTTAATATACCTTCTATCCTACTATATCATCACTTTACTTTTTTTAATATTCTATCTCCGTCCCTTAAAGTTTGTCACACTTTCCCGAAACGGATGTCCCAAATGTTTGTCTTACTTTCTCAACTTCCTTATTTGGTAAACAAATTTATACCAAACAGTGTCAAATAGTGCAAAACAGTACCAAACAGTGCCAAACAGTGTCGATACAGTGTGAAACAGTGTCACTACAGTGTAAAGTCAAATTCATCTCCTTAAAACTTGTGAAGTCAAACTATGACAAACTTTGAGGGACAGAAGGGGTACTATCTTTCCTGCTCTATCATTTACCCTACACACTCTACATTTACCATACTATTTTTCTATTAAAACTCGTTCCCAAAGCTAGCGGGACAGATAATAAAGAACGGAGGGAGTATCATAATTAGCAGGATTTTCCAAACTTAACAATAGTAATTCGTATAAAGTATATAAAAAATATAATGCTTCTATTATGAAAATTCAAAACGTTTTTACTCCTATTTAGAAGATATCTTGAAAACAATTATGATTTTGTTTAAAAATATACTTTCTCCGTTCTTTTTTAATTGCAACGGTCAACTTTTTACGCTTGTCAACGCACATGTTTAACCATTAATATCTTTCATTCCTTATTAGTAAAAAAAATTAAAATATTCAGATTTTGAAAATTTGAAATGAGTGGTATTTAAAAATATTTTTTTAGAATTTATTTTAAAATACATCAATAAATAAAATATAGTCAAAATAGAATATGTGAATATTGTAAGAAGTCCTATGTTATTTTATCTTATTTATGGAATATACAATTCTATTTAGTTCATTTTCTTTTGTAGGCTTTAATTGCTATGCAGTATTTATCTTATTTTTCATTTTTAACCGCTACGAGCATAAAAAGAAAATATACTTGTTTAATCACTCTTTATGTTATTTCTTCTTTGACTATTTTTTAAAGAATTCATTCCACTTTTGTTTCTATGAGTTTTATGTCAATTTCACATTTAGTTAACGTCTTTTATTTTGTCCATTTTTTATATTTCACCCTTGTTTTCTTGACCATTTGTGATGCACCCGGGCATTTTAACCACGTGAGTTCTATGACTAACAACATCATGTTTATTATTTATTAACAACCGAAACATTCAAATTCATTGAATTGTAGCACATCAAGGCTTAAAGTTTCTTGCTTTAGTGACTCCTCAACTTCCTCGATCTCAGCATGGAACATTGTTTATATTAACAAGTGACAGAAGACTTCGGATCACAGATTCAAAAATGTTTGTGAACTCCAAAACACTCCACTGAACGGTCTAGGTTAGTGTACTCCAACACATCTCGATTTAATTCTTGCATGCATGGGCAGAGGGGGGAAATAACATCAAGATCATACCAAAATTAGGGTGCAACTGTGCAAGATTTAGTAAAGTAGGAAGAAGCATTATAGATTTAGCAAGATTCATCTAGCTGAAAAGACATTTTTATGAGCTCATTAGTAACTTTTAAGAGTTATTCACTACAAAAAAATTCGTCTGTAGTCACGGACTTAGTCACGGACCGTAGTGTAAAAAGTCCGTGACTAACACTTTTAGTCACGGACTTCATCCGTGACTAGTTCAGTGACTAGTTCTGCGTGACTAGAATGTAGTCACGGACCATTGGTCGTGACTAGGAGTAGTCACGGATTAGTCACGGACGTCTATCCGTGACTACATCTTGACCGGAATAAACCTCCGGCACGTTAGTCACGGACCATATCCGTGACTACTTTTAATTTAATTTTTTTTTGAATTAGTCACGGACACGAGCCGTGACTAAGTTCAATTTAATTTTTTTTTTTATTTTTGTGGTAGTCACGGACGTATCCGTGACTATATTAAATCTAAAAAAATTGAATTTATTCCGGATATAATGTTTTTGATTATAAAAAAACAATTTTATATAAAAAAACGAAAATTGAATTTATTCCGGATTAAAAAGTAGTCACGGATTAAGTCCGTGACTAATGTTTTTGATTTTAAAAAAAAAACAATTTTTTATAAAAAATAAAAAATTATTTTAATTTTATTTTAGAGCAATTACAATAAAAATAAATTCCAAACGCTATTAAGAATAAAAATGTTATTAAAGACAGAATTATAAAAACAAAATCAATACAATGTCAAACAATATAATGTAATTACATGCCCGTACGTCGGACTCCATTGTGATAATAATTAGAATCATCGTAATCGTATTCATCATCATTCTCATCATAATGACGATGATGATCCTCTTCTGCATCCACGGGGTCCAAGGGTCGGGAACTTCCTCGGCTGCCTCGGTTGCCTCCTCGATTGCCTCCTAGGTTGCTTCCTCGGTGGCTTCCTCGGTGACTTCCTCGGTGGCTTCCTCGGCTGCCTCCTCCCGATGACTGAAACTGATTGAGCATATCAGGCGACAGAGATCCAAATGTAGACCCTATTGCAGGCATGGCACCATAACCGGAGTTAGAGTGATAACCCATACCACCCATGTGCGGAACCTGAGGAGTCTGCTCAACGTGCATAATGTACGGTCGAGGATGAGGTTGAGGTGGAGGCTGATATCCAGCAAGGATCCGTTCCATCGCTTCCAGCCGGGCCCTCGTTTCTTCATCATTCTTTCATTGCTGTTCAAATGCACGCTGCTGCTCCTCCAATTCTCGCTGCAATTGGGCAATGCGTGGATCCTCTCCTCGTCTAGATTGAGAAGATGATGAAGCTCCGCTGCCGCTGCGATCGTACAAAATACGTTGCCCCTCACCCCCGAGGCATGGAAGCCGACCCTTGTACACCCCTGTTGCCTCAAGGATGGCATCATCTTCCACATCAGAACCGATGTCATCTTCTTGAGTCAAGCCAAGTTCCGCTCGCTTCTTTTCAACATTTGCGTTATACTTTGTCTACAAACATTTAAAAAATTATTCAATGATATTTACTTCAATTTGAAATAATAGTATTGATTTTGAAATAATAGTATTGATGTTACATACTTCGATTTCAGCAAGGCGGGGTGGTAGATTGGCTGGCGACTCAACACCGCTCTTCGTCCAACAATGTTTGATTACACTGAGGATAGGGACCCTCTTCTTGTGAGGCCCCGCCTACAAGGTTAGAAAAAGGTTTAAATAAATTTAAAAAAATAAAAGGTTAAAATGGTGTCGGTTTATTTGAATAAGACTTACAAGAGCTTCTTTATGTTTACTCTGGGGTTTGCGGCCTCCGTGCCATTGTGTCGTCATTGCCTTCTCGGACATCCGATTTTTCTTCCCGGCTTCGCTTCTGGCCAAGAAAGTCGGATCCGAAGACCAGTGGCGGACGAGGTTTTGCCATACCTCATCTGAACACCATTGAGGCCTTACCCCACTGGCTCGGGCACGCCTAAAAGTGGGGCGAAGCCAGTTTGAAACTCTGGCATTGTACGCCCTTAGAATAGCGGGGCCTTGTTCTTCAGTCCAGCGAAACCGGGCCTTTATTAAAAAAATAAATTAATTTAACGTTTGTCAAATTTTATGTTACATCAATGACGAAAAATTGATTTTTTTTACCTTGAACAAGTTCCACCAAAGTTCACGGACCTTAGGATCAACATCCGTGTACGTCGCCCAGTTGCCAAGAAAGTGTCCACCAATTATGATTTTGATTTGGTTGAGCACATCTTGATCGCTTCAAAAAATTAATATTTTTTTATAGCTCATTAAAAAATTATTTAATTATTTGAAATTAGAT